TTCATTATTAACACAAACACCAATAAGCTTACACGTCTCATTCTTCTTTCTTTTGATCTCGACACCCTTTACCACACAGTATTGCTTCAATGCTTGCCTAAACTCTTTCAAAGTTGCAAATTCCATTATCACAAGGAATTTTGGCTTAGAAAAATCAAATTCAGGTGGACCGTGTTGGTTGCCCCTTCTCAAACCAAATTCCCTTTCACCTAGATTGTCGTGGCCACTTACTGGCTTATAATTTGATAGATTAGCTATAGCCCCGTTCCTATCTCTGTTTCCAGCACCAGCTATACCATCATCATCATCATCATCATCATCATTTCTTGTTTCTCTATTCTCTTCTTCATTCACTGATGTACCTCCATCACCACCACTTGTACACTTTCAGCATCACTTACTACACTACCATCACCCCTATTGTTTACCTATATATAGTTCACATGTAAAATTCATGGATGATGACTATTCACCCCATCCATGATGGGGTTATAGTCCTGAACCATCGTAGTAATTTTTTTACTTTATTTTTCTTCTCATTTTATTTTAAAACTATTTTTAATATTTTTTAATATTTGAAGGCAATATCGTGGTTTTTTTAACATTGAACCATTTTTCATTATTTTTTGTTAATAAAAATGATTTTCTATTATTAGATAAATTCATATTCTATACATTTTATCATATAATATTTGACATATTCAATAATTACATATTAGTGTTTTATTTTATCCATTATTATTTTGCATCATTTTTTAATTTATTTTGAGCTTAAAATATAAGAAATTTTCATTCGTAATCAACTGTATAAATTATCTCACAAGTTATATGTGAGATATATGAAATCAAGAGGTGTGGTGTAGGCCACACCACACTTGTCGAATTCCCCTTTAGGTGTGGATAGTTTCAATCCACACATTTTATCCATAATTTAGAACAACTGTAGATAACTGGATACTAATGTAGTATAGATTGGTCCCCTGTATATATCAATACACACCCACCAAATTCTCATCCACATTATAAAACACCTCCTTTGTCTCCTAATAATAACTTTGTTGCACCATCATCATCAGTGTGCAATTCAAGGATAGAGCAAGCTTGTGGAGACACAGTTTATTTATATTATAAATAAAAGTATATTAAAGTGGGCTCAAACTTTTGGTTTGCAACGAGCTCAATTTCTTGTAGGCTTTCCTAAATTAGTAGCACAATTATTACACAATGTCAAGGACAGTAGGTGGATGGAGGAAACTTTGATAGAAGAAATAGAGTACCATATTCATTTTTTTTTTCTTTTATGGTTGTAAAGTCTTTCATGTGAAAAATCAAGCAATATGATTGTAAAGTCTTTCAATGATACTCCACCTTGTTGGCTATGCGAGTTTTTTTTTGGCCCAAGCATAGTTAGGGCTGTAAGCTACTCGAGTTTGGCTTGATCTGAGCCAATTATAAATAAATTATTATTAAAAATAACATATTATGAACCGAAATTATAAATTTATTTATTTGTATTATAAATAAATTAATATCAAAATATTAATGTTTATTTATATTATAAATAAAAGTATATTAAAAAAATAATATTTTGTTATAAGCTCAAATTCGCGTATTTAGAGAACCTAGCTCACGAATAACTTGACCTTCTTACACTCCTAATCACAGAACGGAAATGTAACTTAGTATGTATATAATGAAAGTGTACCATATTTTGCCTTAAAAAACAAGGCTGTGTTGTTGTGGAGACACAGTTTGGCCAACCCTGGTCTGTGAGGGCCTGGCTACCTGCGAAAATGGGCCTGTGGGAGTGGGACCCAAATTCAAAATGTAGAAAGAACTTACAATGGCTTCTTGCTGTTAACATTGTATCGAGCCTAACTAGAGGTACAAAGGAAGAGAATAATTGTTTTTACCATGTCTCAAGCCCAACCACGAGCGTGGCCCCAAGTCCTGGATACTTCTTCCTGTTTTGTGAATAGAAATTGCTAATAAGCTGCCCATTTTTGCTGGCTCGAACAGGCCTACCAAGAGTCTGGCTCTTTCTTTGATGATATTCAATTCCCAGGTGGATACTGGATAGTTCTTGAAGATAGCACCAAGGTTCAAAATATTGATATGTATTGACCCGTATCGATATGTATGGGCCGATATATATCATATCAGGAATTTTTTAATATGCCCCTATAAAGGGTGTATTAGGGGGTAGAAAGACCTTAAACCGATCCCTTTGAACCTGTTTTTTTTTTTTTAAAAAAAAAAAAATTATTGGTACTGTCCGATACACCTCTATCGACATATTAGACGTATCGATATTTTGAACCCTGGCCATCACTAGCAATGACTTGAAGAGACCCCTTTCTTGTAATGTTTTGGTTTGAGAATTACATTAACCTTTTTTTTTTTTTCTTTATTAAACGTAAAACTAATTAACAAATATAAATAAAATTCATAAAGTATATCATATCTTGTTAAAATAGTAGATGTCTGTCAACGGACTATAACGATTAACAGTCCTTCCAAGTTCCAAGCACATCTGCTGAGCTGAGGGGGTTCGTGTTTCATTGGAGGGTCTCAACAGATGTATGTAAACCCTTGATTAGTAGGGGTGTTTAATCAAACTGTGGGCTCTTTCTTGAAATCTGGTTTTTGTAATTATCTAAATTTAAACTGATTCAATACTACTGGTTAATCAATTGACTGGTTTGGGTTTTTTGTTTTTTGTTTTTATATTTATTATATATATTACAAATAAATATTTCAATATATATAAAAAAACCATTGGTTTTTTCTAGATTAACCAAAAACTAAACTGATTCTTCAATTTTTTTAGAAATGCTGGATTGAAATCGAATCAGTTCGGTTAACTGCATTTTTTTTATTCGATTTTGTTAGTTCACTTGGTATATGTTTGGCATTGATGCTGCAGGGCGCTTCTGATGTGTGGGTTGTAAGCACCCTTTTCTGAAAAAAATGATGCCTTTTTTTTTTTCTAATTGGAAACATTGGTGCCAGGTAGGACGTTCCCTGGAGCAACAACAACACTTTCTGCTTACTACCAGTGTTTCATGTCTGTTTTCAGCAATGGTACCCATTGTAGGAAGTCTACGTCACTGCCACATCATGTCCTCATTAGCAGCAACAAGCTGCAATTTGAGAAAACGCCAAATTCAGCATTACTCTAAACCACATCTTCTCAATATCCAAGACATGGCTTGAAACACCATTTTTTTATGGAAAAACAGTTCCAAACAAACATGTATTTCCTGGAGCACTATTTTTTCTAATGTAGCACTGATGTATCACCATTTTCTGGAGCATCGGCATTGGTACCAATGCCAAACAGATGCTTAAGTTTTATGGTTTTTTATGAACACGCTACAGTGCCTAATTTCTCCAATCTCAACTTTAGCGGCTGAGAGGGAGCGGCTAGTCTCTATGCTCACTTGCTCAGCGTTAGTGTGAAGGAGATATATTGGAACTTGGGTCTATCCTATGATTTGCATTTTACTAAAAGCACTTCTTATAATTTATTAAAATAACAGTTTTGACCCTAATATCTATTCAAAAAAATTTACCCCCCCCAAAAAAAAATGGAAATATCATTGACAGAACTTCATTTGATCATTTTTATTATTTATTCAAAAAAGTCTGAAGGGTACTTTTGGGATAAAAGACCATGGGCCCATGCCGTTTAAGACATTTCATACTCAAGCATCAAGTCATCACTTGATTAAGTATATTGATATGCAAAATATAAAATAGGTTCTAGTAATTTTCTAAAAACAAAAGAGGTGTTCTAGTAAATAACCCTTTTTAGATTTTAAGTTGCCATTTATTCATGTTTCACCTAACGTCTAACGTCTCGGTTAAGCTTTCTCTGCTTTAAAGTTTGAATTCATGAAAGCCGAAAAGCAACAGCACCAAAACCAGGTACCGGCCATTATGTGATGTTAGCTAACTCCGTGTCTGCTGTTTATACAAAAAAAGGCGTTCCAACAGCTGTAACAGCTTAGGATCGATCAAGGACACTCAACTGTTGAGAAGAAGTACTAAAGGCGTCAATACCCTTCTTTTTCTAGACTTCCATTCAAAGATAAATGATCCTAGCTTTGCTTTAAGCTTGAACAATGAAAATAAAGATTTCCAAAAAGATGATTAGTTAATCACATTTGTGCTAAGAAAAATAAAATCATTAGTGTGGCCCATGGGCCATGGGTATTCACTTAATATTAGCAAACAAGTCGCAAGTGTGGCCCACTTTTTCCATACCCCTGTGGCCCATGGGCTGCCAATTTCTCCAACGTGGGTCATGCCTTAGAACTTAGAAGAGGGTGACCAGGTATGAGGTAGCTCTATAAAACTGATGAAAGACCACTAAGGAGGGAAGGAATAAAAATGAAACCATTCAAATTATTCATTATTCATGGAGATTGGAGAGGAAGCTCGGAAAACCAAGTTATCCTTGGAGAAAGGCAGAAAAGAGATAAAAAGTTACCCATTTTCTACAGCTTTCTGCCTGGAAATAAAGGGCTCCGGATTAAAAGCTTAAGGGACAAGGGTATGTTGAATGCATGGTATATGTATTCCGGCCAGCATAAATTTAATACATGCATGCAGAAGAAACCCAACGATCGAGCTCAACCCATTACATATATATGCTGGACTCAGGCGAGTTGATGACACGGATTAGAAATTCTTACATCTTGCAACCTAACCTAACCAGTTCAATCAACTGAGTTCATCCGAGTCGACACTGAGTCTGAGTGGCTTGATTACATTTAAAATTGTTTTCTAAACAACGTTTTCATCTCATCATATCAAGTTCAATGTGTGAAACCGTTTTAACTTGAACTGCTAACAGCCTAACATTCCTTTGCTTCTTTCTAAAGGTATTCTTGCTTCAACATAACTCCTTTTTCCTTGCATTTCATTACTCTTAATATTCGTTACCTATATATATAAATGTACATACTACATGTCTTCGCCATCCTTGGGTAGAATAGTACGACAGAAGCCATGACTAAGCACTACTGCAGAGTTACAGTCTTCATTGGGTTTCTTATTGCGAGTTTGATCCAAAACTCGCAATCTTCCGTTGTGTCTGTGGGGGACTTCAACAAGGATTTCTATGTGACATGGTCTCCTAATCATGTAAATACTTCTGCTGATGGGCGAACCAGGAGCTTGATTCTTGATAAAGACTCAGGTAATCTTTTGAAGCTTACACTCCATTAAATTCATCTTCATTTTCTTGTTTTCTGATTACCTATATATATATATATAGGTGCTGGTTTTGCTTCCAATGAGATGTTCTTGTTTGGGGAGATAGACATGCAAATCAAGCTGGTACCAGGTCATTCTGCGGGCACAGTTGTAGCCTTTTATGTTAGTAAAACTGCTGCATTTTATCATTCCATCTGTTAATTATTTCGTTTTCGGTATTTTCTTAATTTGGGGGAGATGGAATTGCAGCTAACTTCAGATCAGCCTAACCGAGATGAGATAGATTTTGAATTCCTTGGCAATGTGGCGGGGAAGCCATATATCCTCCAAACAAATATTTTCGTGGATGGGTTCGATAACAGGGAGGAAAGAATTAATCTATGGTTTGATCCAACCAAAGACTTTCATACCTATTCAATTCTATGGAACCTTCACCAAATTGTGTAAGTCCCTTCTTTGTTTTTGTTTTAAATAAGCCATTACGCAGGACTTGATTGGAAGACCGCCCAACTGGGCCTATTAAATACTAATGTATGCAACCAATGTGCCAGCACGGCCCATGAACGAATGTTTGATGAAAATCTTGTGGGTCTTGTTGTTGTAGATTCATGGTGGACTGGGTACCCTTTAGGGTATATAGAAACCATGCAGACAAGGGAGTTGCTTTTCCTCGGTGGCAACCGATGAGCATCAAAATCAGTCTATGGAACGGGGAGAGTTGGGCGACACATGGAGGGCGCGACAAGATCGACTGGTCCAAGGGTCCCTTCGTGGCATCGTTTGGAAACTATAAAATTGATGCCTGCATTTGGAGAGGGAATGCAAGGTTTTGTAGGGCTGATAGCACCAGCAATTGGTGGAACAAGGATCGGTATAGCACTCTAACATGGCCACAGAGGAGGTTGTTCAAATGGGTTAGGATGCACCACCTCATCTATGACTATTGCCAAGACAACCAGAGATTCCAAAACAATCTGCCAAAGGAGTGTTCTCTTCCCAAGTATTGATCAGTGGGAGAAGCTCTCTTGTTGTTTGGCTCATTTGTTTTTCACCTTTCTTACTTTGATTTTCATATTTGTTTTTCATTTTATGTTCATTATATATATATATATATATATTCGAGTGGGGTCTTTTGAGAGAGCAAACTTACAAGCGCTTTCTTTTTCCTTTGTGCTGCCAAGGACGCCTCGCATAACTTAATGTAAAGGGCAGGAATAAAAAAGGAAAAAGTTTTGGGCTTTAAGCAAACGGAGCCCAAAGAAGCACTACTTTCCAATTACTTAACTCTGCTGCCAAATGAAAAGATGTGGCGATAAACATAGCCAGAAGGAAAGTATTGAAAAAAAAAATTATAAATCCATGCATGAAGTTTCTTTTCATGTAATTTTAAGGCTTTTTTTTTTTTTATGTCCAAGGTGTGTATGGACCGGACCACAATTCTCTTCTGGTTAACAGTTGTTGAACTTATTATTCAAGAATATGATCAAGGAAAGTGCTTTTTTGATTTTCATTTCTTTAACCTCCAGATATTGAGCCTTGAGATAGTGCCTATTTGGGAGGGTTCTGCATTTGGAGTGTGTTGTGCTAATTGAGCTACGGTGGTTCAAGAGAAATTATTCAGTTTAGCTTCATATTTGAACAATGGTTTGAGTGTTCGAAAATTTCAATTTAGCTCTCAGGATTTTTACCAAACACAGCATATGGTGTTATCATGTGAAGCCCAGCTCGAAACACCAGAAATCACATTCAAAAACCCTCCCAAACAGGCACGTAGTGGATTAAAATATCCTCGTTTGAACCGAGTTTGGCTTCAGTCAGGGCGAAGCCYATTTGAACATCTTTTACTGCCTTGCATTGAGAATATCTCTGTACTTGTGTGCTTTATTTCATGGGAATATATTGGAGCACGTGGCTATTACCTTAATGAACGAGTTAGTCACGTGCTCATCACACTCCCTTAGCTGGAATGGTGGTGTCAAGACTATCAACGTCATGAACACACGGGGTATATATCTTTTTTATGCACGAGCTTCTTGACATATTCCTTTTCTCACAATCTAGTTAGCTTAGCTGCTGCCTGCTGCAGTACTGAGTTTTTATCTGAAAGGATAAAATGAAAATGGTGATTTAGAAGTGCTGATATAATGATGTTTTATCTTACAAACCCTTGTCGCCATCTCCGGGAAAAAGCGTTGATATCTAATAATGGAAGGGGAGGGTCAATTGGCTGTAATTGCAAGGCCAAATATTTGGCCTTAGCGTCCTGGTCCTATGACTGAAGGGTAAATCAGGAAATTAAGTCCGATGTCAATGATATGGCTTTGTTTTTTGGGGCACCGACGACCTTGGCCTACAGTCAGTCCAGGTCCAGGGCTAGAGGCTCAGAACCAACCTAGGAGGGGTAGGCTCGGAATTGCCATCAAGTATTACCAAACAAAACATTACCAAGTGTTCGCTTTGCCCAAGAATTGCATTGTGTCATCGTGGAATGATTGTCCACAATTGGAAAACCATACACAATAGCGGAAGAGAGTGGAGTACTTGAATTGAACCTGTTGTGTTGTTGGCCGGGGCCGGCCCACTAGCACTTTGGACCAAACCATTACCATCCATCGAGATTCCGAAAGAGGAGGGCTGGAGAGGGGACGGGGGTTACTATAGTAATTTTGCAGCTCTACGTAAAGGTATAAATCAGGTCGTACTGCCTGTGACCCGACATGATATGACATGATGGTATGTAGGCCATGTCAGGCTTGGCACGATGGTCTGTATCGTGTTGGGCCTGGGTTTTAGGTCTGTGGGTTGAGCCGATACGATACGATCGAGTGGGCCATGCTGCCTGGGGCCCGCRTGTCGGCACGACCCATATATATTATATATATATTTATATATTTATATATAATATATAATATATTATAGAAATTATAATTATATTATAATACACTATATAATATATAAATAAAATAAACAATTGTTTTCAATTTTATTATAATAACTTATTTAATTATTGTATATATAAACAATTATATACATCAAAATTCATATAAAACTAAAATTTTAAGTTTTTTTTTTCATTTTTTTTAATAAATAGCTTTGGCCTGTTCCATGGCCCACGAACCGACACAACTTCTTTTACACCTCCAGCTCTACATACCCTTCTTGGCGTGCTACAAGGGCYAGTAGTTGGTTGGACCAGGCCATGCCCCACAGTATCTTAGCCATTCAAACTGATAGACTTCATCTTTCTATAAGAATGGCATTGGACGGAGAGGGGCGGGATGGGGCCAGTTTTTACTTATCCTGTTCTTGACCTCCAATCATGGTTTTCAAAACTGGACCGGACTGGATGGTTGGATTGAAAAAACTAGGAACCGGTCCGTTTTTCCCAAAACCGATGATTTTGGTCAGTGAACCGCTGAACCGGGCTGTTAACCGTTCGAACGGTTTTGACCGTTTTATTTTTTTGTCAGAACAGGCCGAGTGTTTGGTTCAAACGATCAGACCGTTCGACCTGATAATCGGACCCTTGATCGGTTTGATTTTAAAAACCGTGCCTCCAATACATTGTACCACACCTTATCCCCAAGGTTCAAAATATCAATACGTATTAGCTGATATATATCATATCAGGAGCTTCCCGATATGCCCCTATAGAGGGTGTATCGGGGTTTTGACCACTTCAGGGGGTGGATGGACCTTAAACCGACCCCTCTGAGCTGGATTTAAAAAGAAAAAAAAAACTATTGATACTGTCCAATACGTCTCTACTCAGAAAAACAGAGATCCTTGAATTTGTTCCGTTCCATTCCTGTCCCCGATCACTGATGCTGTATTTGGTTTGAAAGAAAAGGTAGGGAAAGGCAGGAAAACCTTAACAAATCTGCCTTAAGGCCCTTTAGGTTTCCCTACGTTTTCTTTAAAATTTAATTTTTGGTTTTCTAATACCCACTCTTAGCCTAGTCTCGGGCCATGGCGGGGCGTGTTAAATGGTCTATCTCTATCTTTGGGTGCACGTAAAAAAGGCAAAAAGGAAGTAGAAATCATGTTTTACAAATGAAGTGAGATACGCATTGTACTTACTACTTGCGTCGGTGGTTCAGCCATAATACCTCCAACCCTAAAGTCCTCAACTGCGCAGAAAATAACAAAAACCAAAAGGAGACTGTTTCCTAACTGCTCTTCCTCTATCCTCCATTATTAATTGCTGGTTACCGTGGATTAAGACGTTCATGGGTCATGACCCCACTTTTCCTATTTAGCTTATCCATTCTTCAGTTCTACTCCAATTCCAACTTGGCACGTGGATAAAGAAAAGGACTTCACTCTGCAATTGCCAGTTGCCACCAAAATAGATCACTCCCCTGAAACCTCTTCATACTTTCTGAACCACAACCAATTGTCCAATTCAATTCATTGCTCTCGATCCTTTGAGAACCACCAATCCCATGCATCCATATGATGCCCCAAGCTCAAAACTGTATGCCCAAATGAGGCTGTTCGTGGATTCGGTTTCAGTCACAAAACCTTTGCTTAGAAATCCAAGTATTGACCCAGATCATGGGCCCAATTGGGTTCAGGTTGAACTGTTACCCACCTGAACCAGGTCCTATATATCATTAAACTTGGAAATCAACCTAAAACCAGAGACGGGTTGGTGGATCCTCTGAAAGAACACTGACTATAGACATGGATTATAACGGAGTTAAGCAATTATCATTTCTTTTCTGGTATTTCTGGTAAACCTCATTATGTGGCCTATGTCTATCCATCTATCCATATCTACCTCGGTATCTGATTATTATGAGCCATTTAAGAGACTATAAAGGAGTCTAGCTAGAAAGGATCTAAAATAAAGGAAGAATCGGAAGTGACGGGGAAGAGATTGGATTCTTCATAAAATTATTTGTTTCTTTTCTKAGTCAGACAGTGAACAATCCTCTATTCTGAGATTGTTAAGTAGAAATCCGGAACGAATGGTCACCATTATAATACAGATAAGCCTTCTCGTCTGTTGGGAGGTCAAACTCAAAACCTGAGGTCCTACCTCATTCTTCATTTCATCAGTGTTGCTAGATGGGCTGGGCCCTGGGTGTGCTCTGTTCAATGAATCAGGACCTACAGTTGAAAGGGTCCCACCTAACAGGTTCCTAATACCACCCAAAAGCTTATCTTCATTCCGAGATCTCAAGTCAATGCTCCAAGAGGAAACTACTAATTAAACGGTTAAGAACAACTTGTTTGGTAGTTGCGACCAATGCTATTATGCAAGGTTCAAAATATTGATAAGATCGATACTGTATTTTATATTATATATATTTTTTTTCGAATCTGCTTGAGAGGGGCCAGTCTAAGGTCCATCCACCCTTTAAATCGGTCAAGACATTGAAACACCCTCTGTAAGAGCGTATCGGAAAGCCCCCGATACAATATGTATTGACTGATACATATTGATACTTTGCACCTTGCTATTATGTGCTCCCCTACTCTCAATTAATGCTATGGAGGAGGAGTTGGGTCTTGTCTCTCATGGCTTTCTTTGAGAGAAAAAAGTGGCAGAGTGTAATCGTAGCATCAATAACAATGTATGTGTTTGGTATAGCTTCCATTTATTCACTAAACATTTGTATTTGATTTATTTGGAAAACCAAGAAAAGTAATAATGAAGTTGTTTATTGACAATGAGGCACCATTAGACACCATATCAGCATAACACAAATCAACATAACAGTGAATAAATGCCTAACAGTTGGGGGAAGTGTTACAAGACCAACTTTTATGAGTCTATATGCGTATGGATCAACAATGATGGGCTAAAATGCTGAAGTGGCACATATATGGCAGCATTTATTGAAAAAACGCACACGATTCCAAACACAGCCGAACTTTGAAGAAGATAATCATTGGATTTATATAATAAAGGGCAAATTTCTTAAACTACCCTTATGCTTTAACTAATTGACTAACTCTACCCTTATTGTTTACATATTTTCTTCAAGTATTCCTATTGTTTTTGACAATTGTTTAAAACCTCCTTTGCCGTTAATTTTGTCACACATCACTCACATGTGACATCACGTGATTGATAAATTTTTTAAATTCCTAAAATACCCTTCCTATATATTGTTCATTGTCCTCAACCTTGAAACGAGGAGAAGAGTGACAACGATAAGAACCCCTGCTCCTTCTGATTTGGGCAATGGGCACTTGACACTCACCCTACCAATTTTGTTGTTTCAACTTTGAATCAGGATTAGGAGGGAAGTTCCTCCTTGTGGCCGATACAGGATCTCGTTTGGGTCGAGTGCTGCTATGTTGTAACTATAGTAAACACGCTCGGGGCTTGGCCTTTCTAACCCACCATTTGACAACATTCGCTCTGATTCACTATTACGACACAACGTGTCAACTCATCCATCACCCTGTTAAACACCAGCCTTGCAACCATACTCTCCTTTAYAGTACTAGCTGCAACGATTACCCGTATGCC